ACCAACCCGACCATTTTGGGATCTCTGAGAGCTATTAGCAGCTTTTGAGACTTGATTGTAGTATTTGAGCAGCACTGTTTTACACAATGGAACCTTTTCGCCATTCACTATAACCCAGATATTATTCTTCCATTTCCTTGCTGTCTCTCGTCCAGAGTGTTTCTCAAATGCAGCAGGAGTCAACTTGTCTATCATTTAAAACAACATATGCATAAATTGATGTCATGAAGGAGAAAAACAGTCATTAATATTCATATGGGATTCAACACTAGATAGAATGCAAGATAGAGAATCATATTATAATACTCCTATCACTAGATTTATGATTGTGACCAAAATAAAATCCTTAATTAATTAGTACTGGCTGAAATTATTAAAACCATACTAATAAAATGAAAGTGAAGCTAACAGGAGGATCATCAACATACCTTGTCCACCACATACATGAATTAGTCATAAACGAAGTAAACTAGTACTCGTCCTTGTCAAAACACTACCAAAATTGGAGCAATAAATCTTTTCTCTTATTTTCTTTGTTTATATTTTCCTATGTCAGTATATTTCATGTATAATATGTTAAGCAATTACTTGAGCACATCTCATGTAGTGCTCTGACACCATCCTACAATGTGGCATACAAGAATTCCGAAGTAATTGTCATTACACTTGTTTAAATCACTAAATCTTCGCCCTTCTGCATCAACAGATACTCTACCATGTTGATCTACTTGTATATATCAATGTTCAAGTAATATAATAAAGCACAAAGTGGATCAATGTGATCAATGATGAATGGATGAATATGGCGGGCAGGCCAGAAAGACATATATACATGCTGTTTCAGCCTAAGGTAATAGGTTTGCACACTAATGAGGTAGCTGGCACAAAATATGCCTAGTGCCACCATGGCAGAAATTTGACTATACTGCAGTGAATACATGGAACAACTACAAGTTGGTATTGCATGTCGATAGTAACTGAAAATTGTTTGGTGATAGCACATATTAATTCACCTCAATTACCAACAAATAAAAAGATATATAAGTGGCATGGATATGTGCCTCCAATACAAAATAGCCATCATAATAACTCATACATAAACTATAGAAAAGTAGTAGTATTCAACAAACAAAAAAAACAGCCATACTTAATTCAATCTCACAAAAAAACAGCATGCTAATTAAGAAAATTCCACTTTTGCATATGATAAACATTCATCTAGCGCAATCATAAAGAGTATGAAACCAACAAGTTGATTGAAGAAAATCAACACACAGTTAAACTGTCCAACTTACCATCACAAACTCCAAACACAAAGCAGATCAAAACAAGCCCATAATAAAAGTCATCAAAGTCAAACCCTCACCAAACCATAAAGTATCGACATATGTACAAATTTAAGAAAATCAATATAACTATGTGCCAGTGGTATCGATATGTATTGATAACGACAGAGATATCAATCGATATCTATCGATATCAGGTATAGATGATATTGATATCATAGATATGTATTATCAACATCTGGTATCGATATCTGGTCGTGTGGAATAGCAAACACACCTTTAATCTGAAATGAGTAGACAGCTATCAACATGCACAGAAACAAAAGAGCAAAGAAACTGATGAGAGAGAGATTGAGAGAGAAACCTTCTTGACAACCAGGGGTGCATTCACAAATAATTTGAAGATAGCCATTAAGAAAAACCCTAAGCCTACCAACAGCATCACCGTATCTATGACTGGTACACCCACACGTTACTTCAACATAGTCATCAAGAAGCTTCACCCCACTCATTTCCCTGAGCTCTTCCTCGCTGAACATTGACAGCCCACTCACTTTTTCCAGCCCATTCGCCATTTTCTCCATAAAAGACTCTGTTTTTTAAGCAGAAAACAATATGGGTGGGTGTAGAATCAAAGGGGTGTTTAAATATATATATATATGGTTGAAAAATGAGGAAAATGTTAGAGATCTGAGGGTGAAATATTAGAGAGAGAGAGAGAGAGAGAAAGAGTGGTTGGTGATGGGGTTGAATGAATGTATTGAATTAGCTGGCGTATAGCAAAACAAATGTTGTGAGGTTAAAAGGGTACTACTTGCATGATATGATGACAGTTGACATCACCGGAAAAAGAGACAACAAAAGTTTATGGAAAAAAAATCATCTTTTCTGTTCAGGTTTTTGATTTGTGTGCTTTTCTAATTTGGGTCCGGTTCGGATCCTATTCCATGGATAAACGCTGCGGCCCAATTACTTTTTTATCATTCAATGTGATAAATTATTTTTTGTCGCCGCAATGTTGTCACACGTGGAAGAAGATCCGAATCGAATCCAAATGTGATTCTAATTGTAAAATATTTGTATTGCACTTTCAGTCAGGATACTGTTACCATATATGATCTCTGCTTGCATAAGTTGCATTAAAAATGGAACAAATTATGTGGTGCTCAAAAGAAATGGTAGAAAACATAAAGCTAAGGTATTTGGAAGGAGAATTTGATTCTATTCTCTGCAATTTTTTAGGACATAAAAGCTTTATAATTTTTTTTTTAGGGTCTGTTAGCTTAAATTCAAAAATGAGATATTACGAGAGATCGAATATGTGCTTCTACAATAATATATCTATGTACAGTTGAGTTGGTTAAATGGAAAAGAGTTTTATATTTTTTACAAATATAAAAATGTATACAATTAAATGTTAATCTCTCTTGGTTCTTATTATAAAAGAAAATTTTCTTTTTAAATTTATTCAATGATTCATGTATAGAATAGATATATTAATCATTGAATGAACTTAAGAGAGTAATTTAGTTTTATTATTATTTTGACAAATTTGGTCCTATATAAATTAATGTGTATGTTAATGGTGATAACAAAGGAGATTAATTGTACGTTCCAATTAACCATCAAGAAACATTATATTCATTAGTAAGAATTAAATACTTTACTTGTTGGTTTCATGCTCTTAGTTAAAGTACTAAGAAATTAAGGGTACCAATCCAATTAACCTTTACTCAAGGATGACCTTCATGCAATGGCAAAGAAAAAAGTGACGAGCCTTTAAAAATGTAAGTCTAAGCGCCGCAACTCTTAGAGACAAAGTGCAAATAGGAGTGGCTGGTCTACATAGATTCCACAGTACATGTCTGATCTGCATATTAAAGTGTAGGCAAACAATCTCTGTGCCATTATATAGATTTTATTTGATTTGCAGAATACTCCTAAACTTCTTTGTCTGCTATCATAACATGTCTGGCACTTATTTGGTTCTTCAAATTATTTTGTCTCTTTGGAATCTAAATCCATTTCTATACACATGATCATGGTTACTTAATGTCAGTTTGGTTGATAGTTATGCAAAAATTTTAGAAAAAGACCAGGGTTCGATCCTCGCAATGCGAAAATACTAACATAAAAACTTATAAAAACAATACATATTCATGATTTTTCCAAAATGCCCAAGATATGTATTGATCCTATTGTCTCTTGTTTTTAATTATGGACTGTGAAATAGGCCATATAAGGGTAGAAAAGGTAAAGTAGGTGTTATTTTTTTTTTGTCTTATCTTGGTAGTATATAAGCTTTGATATAGGCTGTATAGGGAAAGAAAAAATTAATTAAAATAGTCTGATTTCACTGTGGCATGCAATTGTGTCCACCAAACTTTAGTGCTCTTTTGCCCTCAAACAGTTACAGTACTATTTGCATAAGCTTACAACACAAGATGAATCCAACAAATAGTGCATCACATAGATAATTTTAAAGATGACTTTTAGAACCTATGAATGGTAATACTAGTATTTTTTTTAACGACAAAGTACTATCATGATGGCAGACTTTTCCTCTTTAATGATCACAGTGTAACATCTGTTTATAAGAGAATACCCATTCACTATGTTGCTCATCACTCTGGCATGAATTTGCAAGGTAGAGTTTTTTTAAATCATAGATTCACCTACACGATCGTGAGTATAAGGGTTTAAATTTTATAATGATGTTTAATTTAATAATATTGATTTTTGTCTATGGTTAGTTGAACAATTTTGAATTGTTGATCAATAAAAAAAGTATTGATTCAATTAACACCTAAGATTCTGCAATATATGGAGATGGTTTGTTGCATGTTTTGCCATTTTGAAAGGCATACCTATGTCTATATTTGGCACAAAATAAGACTTGTTTGTTCACCACCAAACCTAATATATTTGACTTGTTGGGAGTCATACATACACTCTCCTACGGAATCCAATGACTTTTGACATGTCACTCAAAAGTATGCGGCGGCACATGCGGAATTGGATTCCCAGCGATCATGCATTACAAATCTTGACTGTACCTTACATAAAAATCACTTCATATTCTTAGTCTTGTATGGTAAAAACAAAAAGAAAGTTTTATTTTAGATTTTCAGAATTAAAAAGAAAAATCTGTTTGATCAATATTAGTAGTTTTGCTGGTTCTTTTTTTATTAGCTTTAAACTTTTTGATAAAAATTATTTGAAGTGACTTTTAGGTTTAAAAGTTTCTCTTATTATTTTAATTAAATATTTTACAATTTATTACAATTTAAATTAACTAAATAGGTGTTTTAAATGTATGAATAAAAAAAAATTATATTTCAAAGAATTATTAATCTCTTACTGCAATTTTTCTTCATTCATTTTCTCCGTCATTTTTATTTCAACTTTTTTCATCTCTTTCTCCATTAATTTCAACCTCACTCTTTGTCGATAAACATATACGTTTATAATTTATTATAATTTAAAATAAAACTAGTAGAAAACATGTGTGACCGCTCGTGTAACATTAAAATATATTTTGAATTTTTTTTAATTATAAATATTTTAAATAGAAATTTTAATAAATAAAGTTATTGGGATCACTTCTCATTCTATCTAATTCTAATTCTATTACACTAAATTTTATGTTAAAGCTAAATCAATGATAATTAAATCAAATATACAAATCACTTTATTGACTTCAATGATTCATAACTAAGAAAGCCCAAATTTATAATTACCAACACTAACATAATATTCCTCAGAAGATAATTCTGCAGTAGCTTCACACCTAACATTAAAGGTAACATATAGGGCCTTTGAATGACAATTATTGAGGATTCTGTTGCTCATAGTCACCAAGATATAAAGAAATTGAGATGTAATGAAAGACTTTGTATCTCTATTAAATCTCATGGCTTGCTACAATTCATGAGCTGGTAATGGAAATAAATATCCCCTGAAGAAAAGCAGATCAAGAGAGCACAATCCGATACAATATAATTTTTCCTGTTAGTCAAAGGTTATTTTGTACAAAAAATTTAAGTACTAAAATTAAGACAATATATTGTGTTGCTACTATAATAAAAGTGTGAATAAAAAAACTAACATTTAATGACTTGTTTTTCAGAGCAGCCAGCTAGCATGAGTGGAGATGCTTCTTCAAGTGCAACAACAAACTGTCCGTATCTGAGGCAGTAGAAGATAGTCAATAAATCACTAAAAAGGCTTAGATGGATACAATCCCAATGAATGTGTTGTTAAACCTCTCCTTCCAGAGTTTGAATTGCCTGCAATTGGCAAAACCACGAATTCACGCAGTCATAATGCTAATAACCGTTAGATTGAAATTAAATGATACTGGGAAAACTGCTGAGGGTATTGTTAACACTCCGGAAAAATTGTGGATCACGTTACCATCTTGGTCTTGTTTGTAACTTGGTTCGGTAGAACTTTCTTCTTCTCTGTTTTCATCAAGGATGCTATCCACTTCAACCATGCCAGCATCTCTTAATGTATCATCATTAACATAATCATCAATCCCTAACTCCACTGCAAGAACAAAAGATCATCTATAAGATTTTCAGTATTCATGTGGTATATTCTACAAAAATGTCTACAAATTTGATCGATAACCTTAGAAGCCTGGATACATAATACGATATGGACACAACACGAAACAGATAATTGATATAACAAAAGTCCAAGGAATTCAATGGACATTTTAGGAGATTGTTACCTACTCTTATATGAAACTTAGCAGAAGAAATATCACATACCGCTTTTGCGATAATCTCAGTGCTTTGTTGAATTTCAGTTGTGACCTCAAATAGCACCCAACCCCATTTGTCACCGTTGCCATTTGTGTCTGCTGTGTAAGGAATGTCACTTTTTTGAAACCTTGAAGCTTCCATCCAAGTCTTCCCTCCATCAAGAGACACATCCAGTCTCTCAATGCCTCTGCCACCACCTGATGCTGCATATCCACTAATACTCACCTGAAGTGTAGGAATCATGTTAGAATTTCAATTCATTTCTAATTGACTCAATATTAATGTGTAAACTGACCTTTCCCGGTGTTATTGTGGTCGTGTCTTCTAGAGAACATATAACACACTACCAAAATGAAATCAAAAGCATTAGTTATAGAATATTTACGTCAAAAACCTCATAGAGGAAATACCTGGACAAACTGGGCATTCTTCTGCTATGATATAGATAACTTCCCGCCATTTAACATACCGAGCTCCAATGACACCGGGAGCAACCACGCGTGACAGATAACTATGAGAAAGAACTCCTAAGCAGAATTGTGGCAGATACAACACAACCTAAAATGCTTCACTTGGTTTGACACAACAGAAAGGGTAAATCATGTCACAAAAAAGAAAAAAGAAAAAAGGTAAAAGATTTGACAGAGGAGGAAATAAGAGTTGCAAATTTATGATGAGAGTGTGACGACCACAAATTTCTATTTTTCGCTCTGAAAAAACTAACCAGATAATGCATATATTATTTCCGTCAACTAAACAATACATGGAAGTAAATAGCTGAGAATAATTCTAGATGCTAAAGCTCAAAAGACTCAGTCTGAAGGACACCTAATAATTGTTCAATAATAATCGAACAATGTGAGCAACCAGATGAGAAATATCTGAAGTAGCACAAATCTACACACACAGCCAGAAAGAGAAAGAAGTACCTCTCAGAGCTTAAAGGGAACAACATATTCATTATATAACTGTGTTGTGCTCTTCAAATCTGATGATAACTCATTGGCTTTCTCGCGTGTTACATTGGCATAAATAGTTGAACTGGCCTCGAGGACACCGAAAACACCACATAGAAAGAAATATCAAATCCAATTTCGAGATGCAACACATATAAAACCAAAACAGTATGGTTCTTCCATGCAACACTATATCATATCCAATAAATAATTACTATTAGTAAACTTATATCGAACCAACCTGTAGTGTGGCAGTGACATTGTACTTAAGTAGCATCCTGTAATAATCAATGAACAATATCAAATTTTTGTTTAAACACAAGTTACTGGTATTAGAGTTTAATCTACATAAAAGAACATTAGGCAGTAGTTTTCCTGTTCTTACAATGACACATTCAGATCTAACACAAAAACGGTCTTTTCTTGTAACAAAATGCTATATTTTAAGAGTTCTTCATAGTGAGAGAGAAAAAACATAATTTCTTAAGACATCTTAAGCATAGACATTTTATCAAATACCTAAAATGCATTAAAAAGATAAAATTTACAAGCTTAAAAGATTAATAACATTGCAACTCATCCAAGCCTCGTTAAAAATGTATATATATATCAAGAAAAAACTATTCAAGATCTTAACTCAAGAAAAAACTTAGATCGTTAATAGATCGTTAAAATGTGGTAACATTGCAACTCATACAAATAATAAATCTTAACTCAACAAAAAAAAAATTCAAGATTAAGAAAATTTTGAAGAAAAACCATATTAAAACTTTGAATTTTAAAAATAATGTTTGAAATGTTGAGCTATAGGTGAAAATTGATAGAAGCATTTTATGAAACATGGAGGATGCAAATGGAATTGACGAAATTCAAAGGAAAAATCAACGAAAAATGAAGAAATAAAAGAGAGAAATAGATGCAGTCATGTCGAAATAAGAGTGAGTTACATAAGAAAAACATGACAGGCAAGTTGAATAACCAAATAAAGATGAAAAGCAGAGATTGGTCAAGCAGGTTAAATATACAAGTCGAAACAAAACTAAGCATGGAAACGAAAACTGATTTCATAGAAGAAAAGAAACAAAGCATGGAGACGGGTTACCTCAAACACAATGGAACGGCTATGAAGATGGAAGAAGCCGATGAAGGAAAATGGTGAAGGTTAGTGGCCAAAGAAAACTATGAGAGATGAAAGATGACAAGTCTTTGCAATTGTATTCAAGCTTCACAATGTGTTTTACCCGGGTAAAAGGACTGTCCATCTGATTTCAGTGTTTTTTTTTGTTTTCACTACAACCATTGCGCCACATGGAGGCACTGTTATTTGATTGGTCAACAATAATTACATAAATGGACATAATTTAGTGTAAATTAATTTTGTAAGCAAGGGTATATTAGGTAGATCATTAGCATCCTCCAAACTTAGTTAGATAGTTGATAAATATATTTTAAATGCATGAATAAAAAAATTAAATTTTATATAATAAAAAATATGAGTTTGTTAATACAATTTTTCTTCATTTGGGGTTTACATTCCATTTTTCTCTTATAATTCCAACCTCACATTGGACTTTGAGCAATAATATAAAGGGTATTTTGTTAGAACATAGTTTGATTCTACAATCCTTAATTAGAGTTTTGATGATAACAAAATACAAAGAATAAATAAATTGTAAGATTTATATATAAGACAAATATGCTTCTTAAAATTATGTTTTGTATATACAGAAGTTCTGATGGAATCAGCATCAGAAGATCAACAATATGTCAGCATCAGAAGATCAGTAACATATGTTACACGCTGAAGCTACCAGATTATACGCTGAAGCTTGATGACCAGAATCTGCGCATAAACATATACACTCTGACTCTGATCAAATATCTTTACCAAGTCATCAGCACTCAGAAGCGTCAGCATAAGTTAAAGCAGAACACTCTGAAGCGTTACTAAGTATTCAAGACAGAATTAAATGCTAACGGCTCTCTTCAAGACAAGATCTTCTCAAAAAGGAAAGTGCTTTATTATCATTGAAATGGCTTTATGGACAACGTATCTCTGCCTTGTCTATATAAACAAGTCTGTGTAAGAAAAGACGCACGCATGCACTCATAATTTGCCAAGCCTTCAACACCACGCTTACTCAAACGCTTTAGCAAATTCATTTTTATTCCAAGCTTAAATTGTGTAATTATCACAGTTGTGATATAGTGTTTTATTAGAAAACGTTAAACACATCATTGTTCATACTTTTTGTAAAAGATTTCCTTGAGATAAACCGGTTTGTGGTTATACTCAAGAAGGCTTTAACAGTTGTTAAAGTGGATGTGTAATCCTTTGAATATAGTGGATTAAGACCTCGTTGGAGAGAGGTGAAATCACCTTGACGGGTGGACTGGAGTAGTTTGAGATCAAACGAACCAGGATAAAAATAATGTGTTGTCTAAGCATTTAATTTAAGTTTTAACAATTCAACCCCCCTTCTTGTGTTTTTCACATCTTCAATTGGCATCAGAGCGCCTGGTTCTGAGCTTATAACACTTAACCGTGTCAGTACAAGATCCAGCGTCAGAAAAACACAATGGCAGGATCAAATAAAGACATCAGCAATGACAACAATGAAGGAAGAGACAGATTCAGTGGCAAACCTCCAGTCTTTGATGGAGAGAACTTTGACTACTGGAAAGACAGAATTGAGAGTTTCTTTCTGGCCCATGATGCTGATCTGTGGGACATGGTGACTGATGGATACACGCACCCAGTGGATGGAAGTGGTCAGAAGATTGACAGGAAAACAATGTCTGATCAGCAAAAGCGTGAGTTCAGAAATCATCACAAGGCCAGAATAATTCTTCTCAGCGCCATCTCTTATTCAGAATATGAGAAGATATCAAACATAGACACTGCAAAGAATATGTTTGACTCTCTGAGAATGACGCATGAAGGCAACATTCAAGTCAAAGAAACCAAAGCCCTTGCACTCATTCAGAAGTATGAGGCATTCAAGATGGAAGAAAGTGAATCAATAGAAACTATGTTTTCAAGATTTCAAATTCTTGTTGCTGGTCTAAAAGTTCTTGACAAAGGGTATTTTACTGCTGATCACGTTAAGAAGATCATCAGAAGCTTGCCAAAACAATGGAGGCCAATGGTCACATCGCTTAAGCTAGCCAAGGATCTCAACTAAATCTCTCTGGAGGAACTTGTCAGCTCCCTCAGAAGTCATGAGATAGAGCTAGAAGCAGATGAACCTCAAAAGCAAGGTAAGCCATTAGCTTTAAAATCTAACAGAAAATCTGACTCCAAAGTTTTGCAGGCTGTGGAAGAAACCTCTGATGGGTCCTCATCAGAAGAAGATGAACTATCTCTCCTCTCCAAAAGGGTAAACCAATTGTGGAAGTAGAGGCAAAGAAAGTTCAGGAATCCCAGAAGACCAGAAAATCAGAATGAATCTTTCTCCAGATACAGAAGGTCAGAATCCTCCTCTGGACACAGAAGATCTGAAGGTTCTTCAGGAAACAGAAAGCCAAACAACAAAGACATCATCTGCTATAAATGTAATGAGCAAGGGCACTACAAAAGTGATTGCCCAAAGCTTCAGAAGGAAAAGCCCAAAAAGAAGTTTGGCAAGGAAAAGAAGAAAAGTCTCATGGCTACATGGGATGATTCTGACACATCTGAAGTTGACTCAGAATCAGATGATGAAAGAGCAAACATAGCTCTCATGGCAAATATAACAGAAGACAGTGAAGCTTCTGAGTCAGAATCTGAATCAGATACAGAAGAGGTATTCCCTGACTTTGCTATAAACTTTACTAAGGTTGAACTAGCTGAAAGCCTTAATGAAATTCTGGAAAGATATCAGCAGATCAGAATCAAATTCAGAAACCTGAAAAGGAATCTTGCATCTGACTCTGGTAAGACTGAGAGTCTCAAATTGAAGAATTCTGAGTTAAAAGATAAAATTTCAAAATTAGAAAATCAATTGCAAAACTCTCAGAAGGAAACAATCCCTGAAACTCCCAGCAATGCTGATGAGATCATCAAGGAGTATGATCACAACTTTCAGAAGTTTCTAGCTAAAAACATAGACAGAAGCAAAATGGCTTCAATGATCTATGGAGTTAGCAGAAATGGCAGAAAAGAGATAGGATATCAAGGTAAGGTACCTACACCAAAAAATGCCATGGATTTAGTTATAAAATGTACTCCACTTGATTCACACTTTATATATGGGCACACACATGACATAAAATATACAAGTAGTGATTACTCTGTCAAACTAAAATTCAACCAGAGTTTTGGAAAAACTAACAAATCAGGACCCAAGAAAATGTGGGTACCTAAGGATAAAATAATACATGTGGCAGATATCTTTAGCAGCAAAGCAAAAACACCAATCATGGTACCTGGACTATGGCTGCTCACAACACATGACGGGAAGAAGGCATATGTTCCAAAGCCTGGAACTTAAGCCTGGAGGCCACGTAGGTTTTAGAGGCAATCAGAGAGGAAAGATCATTGGCTCTGGAACAGTAGGTAATAGAAATCTTCCCTCTATAAGTAATGTTTTACTAGTTGATGGATTAATGCATAATCTGTTATCCATAAGTCAATTAAGTGATAACGGTTATGATATAATCTTCAATCAAAATTCATGCAAAGCTGTTAGTCAGAAAGATGGGACTATCCTATTTAATGGAAAGAGGAAAAACAACATTTATAAAATAAAACTTTCTGAACTAAAAAGTCAGAATGTAAAATGTCTACTGTCTGTTAACAACGAGCAATGGATCTGGCACAGAAGATTGGGACATGTTAGTATGAGAAGAATATCTCAGATTAACAAACTCAATCTGGTCAAAGGACTTCCTAACCTGAAGTTCAATTCAGATGCTCTGTGTGAAGCATGTCAGAAAGGCAAGTTTGCAAAACCAGCTTTCAAATCCAAAAACGTTGTTTCCACCTCCAAGCCATTAGAACTTCTGCATATTGACTTATTTGGAC